TCCTCCTCTTCCTCCTCCTCTCTGGCCTGCACCTCCTTTTCCAAGGTTTAACCCCTTTGTGCCACCACCACTCTACCCACCTGTGCAGCCAAATCCCCACAAGATCACGACAGAAAAAGTTTTAGATATCCTCATGGATGAACTGAAGTCAATCATAAAGAAGGACATTACACGTAGAATGATTGAAGGGGTCGCTTTCAAGGCATTTGAAGACTGGTGGGAGTGTCAGGAGAAGAAGGCAAAGGTAAAACCTTTTTCACATACTTTATTGTCTCTTATAGTGGGCACATTAACAAAACATTTTGCATGTCTTTTAATGGGAGTAGTTGTTTGGAGCCAGTGGGTCTTATAACTCAGTTGATTCATTTAAGATACAAGAGTCTCCTCTGAAATGTGGAGTGGCAAGAGTGGAAGACAGGAACAAATTCCTAAATCCCCTCAGTAACATTGGTGGGCAGAGCAGAAAACCACCACTGCCATCCTTCAAGGTAATCTGTTCTGGAGACATTTTTGAAACACAGCTGGTTTTGACTGCCAAGTGATGCCTAAATAAATAAATTTCCACACAGGTAAAAAGGAAAAGATCAGACGAGACAGGAAATGACTCCGGTTCTGCTCTCGATCATTTTGGTCAGTGCGATTAATTCAAATTTCAGTGTGTATTAACTTTCTGTGCCAGACTGTCGCTTTAACTGATTCTAACTTGTTGCATTAGAGGTGAAAAAAGGGGACGACATAGTGAGAGCGGCGTCTGAGAGAGGCAAACGCAGACACGCAAGACCACTGGACCTGGACAGTGATGATGATGATGATGATGGTGGTGATGCCGGGAAAGAAGATAAGATACTTCAAGATGAAGAAGCGATACCAGACAAAGTGAAGGCTTTTGTGCTGGATGAGGATGAGCCGCACATCCTGGTAAATGAAGAGACAGAAAAGAAAAAAGAAATAGCAAATAAGAAATTGAGAAAAATGCCCTGAGGTCAATATTTTAGTCTGGTGCCTTTACTTTTTCAGTTTTTAGTCTTAAAATTAAAATTTTAACTAAAAATTTTAAACTTCTGGAGACAGCATTACATAACTGGTGCTCTGATTAGTCTGACAGAGATGCTCATGGCGATGATGAAGATGATGATGATGGCAGTAATCATACTGCAGAAGAAAATAGTCAGATGGAGGATCGATGTGACGGAGAGCAGTGCTTAGACAGCGGTATGTTAAAATCTCATACAACGCTGAACACTCATTAGAAATCACATATCTTAACATTGAACAGTGTTGCTTCTTTTTCAAATGTAGAGGTTTTTTCAGAGGACAGCGAGCACACGTCGGACTGCGACACTTCAGATTCGCTCTCCTCGGTGGGCTTTGAGGACACGTTGTCTGACCTGACCACTGAAGGTGAAGACGCCGAGGAGGACAGCGAGGACGCCGGGAGTGAAGAGTGTATAGTTATATCATCAGATGAGGACTCAGTGGAGCTCGAGCCCCCTCTTACCCCCTCAGCCCCACTGACCCCTGGTGCTCAGCTGGATCTGGACCAGCAGGGCTGGTCAGAGCTGTTCCCAAGGCAGGAAACAGAGGAGGACCAGTACACATCGTGCCACGAAGACAACTGCGACTTCGATGCCATGATGGAGCTCCATACCAGCGAACCCCAGGACCTGCTGCCCCCATCACCTCTTGGACTCTCAGGTTACATGTCCTTGTAAAGCAATAGCTCTGTTAAGTTAGTGTCATCAGGTTAATCAAAAGTGGTTTAATTGTCACTCATGTAACAAAATCTTGTAATACTCCCTGAATTTCCAGTGTGCTACAAATTAACAGAACTACACAAGAGTAAGTTGTGTATCAGGTTTTGAAATAATTATGTATGAAAATTCCTTGTTAATCTGTATAGCAGTGGAGCCATGCCTTGATATGGAGATGGAAAGCCCTGATTGGACAGTGGAGTCTCCAGAGAACATAAAAAGTCTGAGGCCTCCCACTCCTACTGGCCGTTTGGTGGACAGTGACCCTGACATCCTTTTAAAAAGCAGACCATCATCTCCTGCTGCAGAGGAGGAGGAACGACCACCAACACCAGGCAAGGGAATAGTGGCAGGACTGGAAAGTGAGAATTCAGAGGAAGTCCTCTCCCTCTCCCCAGCAAGCGATGGACTCGCTCAACCTCCCTCTGATCTCCTCATGGCATCATACCCATTATGCCAGGAGATGCCTAAGACTCCTGGCAGAGATGAAAGAGGTATGTGGACTCATTGTAGCTCTGGGAGAGCTCCTGCAACACCTGGAAGAGGGACCGCAAGTTTAGAATTTAGCACAGTGAGCCCGCCCCTTAGCAGCCCACCACTTATCCCACTCTTGCCCAGCAGTCCATACATCACAGCCCCAAAGACTCCAGGAAGAGACATTATCCTGCCCAGAAGATCAATAGTCCACAAAAGGAAATCCCAGGTGGCGGTAACGTCAGTGCCTCTGTCATCTAATAACATTTTCAGAGTTTCCCCCATCACAGTGTCCTCGCCATTCAGCGTCTCTGACTCTTCATGTGACAGCGTTGATGGAAGGGATGTCCAGATCCGTTCAGGTGTGAGAGCAAAGCCTCTACAGGGACTGGAGAACATGCCTGAGCTGTTGGACAAAGAGAAAATCTTACTGAGGCTAAACCGATGGAAGAGGCTGAAGAAGAGAAGGCGAGCCCGTCACTGGGAGAGATCACTTAAAAGAATCAGTCCGTTGTTCTCTCAACGTTGTCCTCACAGGTGGCGTTCACCCTATGAAGAGTGGAAAATCCTTCATAGCGTTTGGAAGGACGGCTTGGATGAAGAAGATGCAAGGTTTCTGCAGTGCACCTATGAAAGGCTGCAGGTGCAGGATAATGGCTGTGGGTGGCTCAGTGACACCCTCTGGATGCCTCATCCTCATATCCTTACAGACAGTGTTTTATGTTGAAATGATTCTTTATATTGTGGGAAACAGGTAAGTTGTTTTTAAGTCATACTTTTGTTTTTTCTGATGGAGCTGCTTTTTGCATATTACTCTGCTGTTCACATCCTTAACTGCTGCTCACTGACTAAGGTCCTTACAGAGAAGAATGAGGAACACAGATCCTGGCAGCCGCACCACAGAACAGGCTCTGCTCGAAGTGAAGGTTTTTACAAAATCAGCAGGAAGGATAAAATGAGGTATCTGCACAACACGCGGCTGGCTGCGGAGCATCCGTCTACAAGTGCTCAGGTATTAAAGGAGGACAGAAGGTGAGGATTTCTGTGTCCAGTTTAAGATTTATGTATTTAATGTTGAGACATTTTTCATCAGGGAACGTGCATTCCAGCTCAGCAACCCACTTCACTGCGAGCTGGGTCTGACTTCAGGTGTGAACAGCGCCGGCTGCTGTCCTCTTTCAGCTGTGACAGTGACCTGGTCAAGTTCAACCAACTCAAGGTTAGCAGGAAGTTAGTGACAATCAGCAGACTACTGTAAAAGCCCAGTTTGTCTCCAGTGGAATCTAAAACTGAGTTTACCGTTAGATTTTATTTGGGCAGACAAGAAATCAGAACATTAGTTCTGCACTCTAAAAAAAGAAAGAAATAATTTCACACTTATTGTATGTTTTTTAACTTTGTTAAGTCTTGAGCCACTTCTCCTTTCTTTATATTTTGCTGGGAACATGGGAAATAGGTGCAGAGATTTATTGAAACATATGCAAACATATATGGAAAGATGAGCATACTGAAAAACAGGATCAACTGAATCTTTTAGGTGTCAGGTTCTTGTTGGATTTCTTCCTGTTTCTTCTTTCATCAGTTTTAAATAGTTTAACTTTAAATAAGGTGCAGCTTCTTTTTTTGCACTCTACAGATGGCTGTAGAGCCGATGGCAACAAAGTGCCTAAAATACAATTTAAACCAAACAAACAAATAAAAAAAATCCTGTGAAAATGGTCAAGCACAAGGATTGTACTGAAAGTGACTGAAAAACCAGCCAGTATCCAAATAAACAATTGACTTTACTATTCAATGGCTTTCAAATTCACAAAGCAAAATATAGAGTAATGAGGGTGACTCGAGATTTTTGCACAGAACTGTCTCATTTGAGCGACAGTCCAAACCCGTGCTATATCGTCTGTCAGTTCCGAAGGAAGAGGATTCGTTTCAGCAGGAGTTACATCCACGAGTGGGGCCTGTTTGCCATGGAGCCTATTGCTGCAGACGAAATGGTGATTGAATATGTGGGCCAAATCATCCGACAGGTAATTCTGATGCAAACTAACATGCACTTTTAAATAAACCCCTTTTCCCCTGATTGTTTCTCTAAATTAGTCCACCGGTCCACTGGGGGCCTCGGGTCGTGCTGGGTGGTTTCCATCCATGCGTGTAGAGTAACTGTGATAAACAACCCTCGCATAGATGGAAAGCCACATCTGTTTTCTTTCTCCTCAGGTCATTGCTGACATGAGGGAGCAGAGATACGAGGAGGAGGGCATTGGAAGCAGCTATTTGTTTCGGGTGGATCAGGACACCATCATTGATGCTACCAAATGTGGGAACTTAGCCAGGTTTATCAACCACAGCTGCAATGTGAGTAAAAACCTGCAGTGCTGTGGTTAGAGATGAAAGTGATTCCACATAAAGTATTCCCATTAAAAGGTTTGTGGGGTTTATTTATTTATTTTTGTCTTACAGCCTAACTGCTACGCAAAAATCATCACAGTGGAGTCTCAGAAGAAGATAGTCATATACTCCCGCCAGCCTATAAACATCAATGAAGAGATTACATATGACTACAAGTTTCCCATTGAGGAAACAAAGATCCCTTGTTTGTGTGGGGCAGACGGCTGCAGAGGCTCCTTGAACTAATCACCTGTTAAGTGGCCCGATTAGGTAAAGAAAAAAAGTGGCAACCTAAACCAGAGGTATCAAAAAGCAATTTTTAATACTGTTCAGCAACCATTCAGCATTTTGGAAGCCGTAGAAGAGCTCATGAAAGAACTGCAGACATGTGGTACTCAGTGAATAATGGTTTAATACTAAGCTGCCATAAACAATATTTATGAGAAAAACAAACAAAAACCAAGAGTGGTCTCTTTTAAACAGGAGGGGAAAATCACATCCTAGACTTCATGCTAAATCTCCCAACTTCTGTTGACCTCGCCGTCTAAAAGTTAACAAAGTGTATAGTTAAATGTTTTCATTTATGAGAGCTCGGATGACGTTTTGCTTGAGTCAAGCTTGTGTTAATAAAAATGGTTTTCCTGTTGATGTTTTATACAAACTGGAAGCACTGCATTGTGATTTAAAGTGGATGTTGTACTCATGTCATTTTTGCAAGCATCAGAAGAAATGATAAAGACATAAAATGAACAATTAAATGTAAAAAAACAAAACCAAAAAACAAACATGCAACACATAAAAAAATAAAGAAAACCATAAGTATACGTGCTTTGTGTATTTCTCAGAATATGAGACATTTTCAGGCATAAGGATGTTTATTAGAGCATTCGTTTTATACTAAGTTGATGGATATAGCATGTTTTCTGAGGTCTTAAATTAATGCATCACCCAGTTCACATCTTGTTTAAATCTCCATTTGGTGTCAGAACAGTCAGATTGCCTCTAGCGTGCTGGTCTGCTTCAATAGCCTCAAAAAGAGACTTGAAGTTTCCTGCACCAAAGCCCTATGGATGAGAACATGTTTTTTTTGTTTGTTTGTTTAATAACATGTTAAATATACTGTAGAGTACATTTCCACTGCTTGTTTAGCCAGTGGTGCCCTCACCTGGTGATTGTGTCTCTGAATGACTTCCAAGAACACAGTGGGGCGATCCTGGACCGGCTTAGTGAAGATTTGAAGTAGGTAGCCATTGTCATCGTAGTCCACCAAGATCTTTAGTTCCTGGGTTACGGTGAGGACATAAAACAATATTTTGTCAATTTGAAGGGATTTTTTTTTGGTTAATTATGAAGACAAAATGTGTTTTATGCACCTTTAGTCTTTAAAAAAATATGATTCGAGTGAACTGAGTCAACATGTTCTACGATTTAAAAAAGGCCACTGTGTTTGGCTACGTAAGGATCACAAATCATCACTCTTTTAGCTTTGTTAATTTAGGGTTTTAGCTCTGACCTGCAGGACATCAAGGTCCTCTGAGATTTTGACCTTTGAGTGTTTCAGCTTCTCTCTCAGCTGGTCGTAGTAGGTCTCGGGCACAGACATGAACTCCATCCCGCGCTCCTTCAGGTTACGGATCTGCAAACAAGGTAATTAACATTACAGTTAAGCTGCTGTTATAACTCAGCCTGTTGCAGAGGTAAGCAGGGTGTTTTAGTTGCCATACTGTAGTAATGATATCTGAAGTGTTCATGGCGATATGCTGCACTCCTGGACCTCCATAGTACTCCACATATTCCTGTAAGTCAATAATGTTCTTATTAGTCCACATACCACATGGTTAATGTTTGTTCATTTGAATACTTCAGCTCTGGTTTTAATCTGGTAACCCAGATGTTTAATTAAAGTAGATAAACTGTAAGCAACATGCCTGGATTTGAGACTTTCTCTTCCCTATCGCAGGCTCATTGATGGGCATTTTCACGGTCTCCTCGTAGTTTGCCACGACGATTGAGCGCAGGGCGCTGAATTCTGTCTGAAGCTGCTTGTCGTCCACAGACCAGAAACGGTGAAAGAGAAGGTTTCTCTGATACCTGTTAAATGAAGAAACACAGATTAGGAGCCGCTGTGGCGCAAATACTCTTGAAGTTGCTCTCATAGTGTCATATGCACAGTAAAGAAACATGTTTCTTCACATGGCAAACAAAAGAAAATACATACACACACACACACACACATATATGTATATACATAAATATATATATGTGTGTGTGTGTGTGTGTGTGTCGGTGTGTTGGTGTGTGTGTATATATGGAGATATATACACATATATATGTATATGTGTGTGTATATATATGGAGAGAGAGAGAGAAAGAGAGAGAGAAATATAGCCTCATATATTATATTAAAAGAACCAGAGCTGCAAAAGCAATGTACATATTAATGCAATTTACATTTATAGTGATACCATGGGCTTCATACTCCATAGACACCACATTAACTAAATTTGAGGGGTTACATTTTTGGCCTGTAAAAACATCAGTGACTGACATTTTTATGAGCCAGAAAAAAATTGGTTCTTCACATCTGAAAACTGCCAGCCAGTGTAACACGCCTCTTCAGAGGTTAAACCAATGAGCTTGCTCATTTAGAGAACTGCCTTACTTCCAACAATGCAGTAAAAAAAACAAATAAACAAGATCCAGATGTGGAATGCCCACTTAATGCAAAATCATGCTGATCCCAAGTCATGCCAAAAAAAACTGAGTTATGTAAGAATCAGACACCCTTTAGCTCCGCCCCTCATTCACCCTCTGGCTTGTGTTTCTGCAGAACACATGGCAAAAGTTGGCCTTCAAGGATTTTTGCTAGACAAACCCTCTTAGATGTGGCTAACGTTATAACTGACAGGGCGTATTTTAACCCGAAGCACAATCTTTTTCTAAACCTAACCAACTAAAAACAACGTTCTAGGAAATATTCAAGCCTCCCTACATCTTCTGCAGTTTTTTTCGTCCCAACACGGAGGCTTTTAGTTGTATTTATATGGTACACTGCTATTTCACACTCTCTACAAGAACTAGCTGCAAGTCCTCACCATTCCACCGCTGAAACCATCTCATCATCTGGTTGGTTTCCTACAACGTGATCGATAAAGTCCAGGTTTCCACTTGGGCTGCACGGAGGGGAAAAACAAACAAATAATTCAGTCAGCTGTGATTCAGACAGAAATACACATTATCAGTTTACAAAAACATCACATCCGGAATAATTTCTGTTTACTCACAGTTTGTCGAGTAAGGGGTCCTTGAACAGAGGAGGATGGAATCCAGGCAGAAACAATCCACTGTATCCTGTCCTCTCCACAAATGTGTGAGTGGTGTCACCATACTGAAGGAAACCAAAGCAAATCCAAAATCCTGGATTTTCTGACATTTCCAACTTTTTTCATAAATCCCTGAATCATGGTATCTAAAATATTCACTATAAATATACAACACTTACAGTTTGCAGCACAGCCAGTCTGACTTTACCATATTTGTCCTCCAGAGTGTAGGGTTCCTTTATAATGACTGCCCCTCGCGCCCGGGCTTTCTGTTTGGGAAATAATGTTAATTATGGAAGCAAGAGCTTTTTCAGTTACTAACATGATGCATCTGTAAAATAAAACCTGAACCATTACCTGCACGAGAAAGTCACAGTCCTCCACTGTAAATGCAATGTCCTTCACTCCGTCCCCATGCTTAACCAAATGATCCCCCAGCTCTGAAAACATGACAAGAACAGACATTTTCTTCAGCTTAAATGAACATATGATTCACAGGTTTCTTAAAACTCTTTTACATTTTTGTGATTTATAATGAATGTGTACTAAAAGGGATTGTTTTGAGTGGGACTTTCACCAAAGCATATCAAGATAATATGTTTTCAACAATTTCTTCTTTCCTTGCATATTCAAATTGATCATAGGGGTCAGTCATGGCACCGATATTCTTACCACAGACTAGTCAAAATATATTTTTTAGACATGGAACTGCAAATAGTTTGGCAAAAGAAAGAATGCACAAAATAGTATAGTAGTATATATATCTAAAAATGTAACAGAAGTGTAGAAATCTTACAAATGAACCTGTTAAAGGGGAATGCCAAACAAAGTCAAAAGTAATTGTGACCACTACAGGAACCCAGCTCCTTATCAGTGCTGTACCTTTGTTTCCAGGATTGAGGGCGGATGAGAACACGTAAATGATCTGTGAAATACAGAGTGAACACATCGACGTGATTAAACTCCTGCCTCTGTGCATCTTTAGCTTTCACTTGAGTCTAGGTGTGTTTTGTTACAATTAACATCACTCAACAAATCTACACATTGTAAGCAAACTTTTTTAGGTGCTTTAAACTGATTTCCCCTCTTGTGGTCTGCGGGCACTGAGTGCTCTTTACCTTGCCTTGTTTGACTACATGTGACACCACTTCACGACTGCCCGTCTCCAAACCTTGGTAAGCCACAGGCTCAAATCCAAGCTTGTTGCAGTAATATGATGCAGCCTGTTGGAGACAAACAAAAACATGAGCAAAGAGGGAACCGATTCACAGTCTGCTGAAACTGGGCATGTTTGCAGCAGACTGGCTTTAGCGCCATCTCCTGGTGACGAATTTTGATGGTGTTTGTGCAGCAGGGGTTCTGGGAGGTGGGAAAATGAGTATGTGGTCTGGTGTTCTGTGTGCTGTGTTCCCTCCACCCCTTTGGATGACCAATAAAACAGCTAAAAGAAAAGTAGAAAACTAGAACTAACTTACCTGCTTTGCATTTCCAACCCAGAATGTTAAGTGATCAAAGCAGAAGAATCTGCCCTGCTCATGCTGAAGACAAAAAGAAATAACAAAAATCAGTCACATATGCAAGTTTAAAAAAAAAAAAAAATCTAATAATACCAAAACCAGCTTGCAGTCAATGATTAAATAATCTCTGCAGTGCAACACACACAAATCAGTTATTTACCTTCTCGCCTTTGTCTGTGTATGTTGTCTGCAATTAAAAGTAACACACCAAAACTTACTACTTACAGAAAAAGAACTGTTTTTTGGCATAACCAATATTATCTCCATGCAAACACAAATTCTCAGAGCGACCTGAGATAGGAGAAAGAAGCCATTTGAGAGGATTCATCAGCGAAGAGCAACTCACCATCTTTGCTGGAGGTGATGAGACCTGACAGTCCGAATGAAATCTGTGGCGAACGCCTGAATTTAAAAGCCGGGCATGAAGTGTTTAAACCCACTCCCACCAATGGGGTGGAGAGATTGGAGGTGGAGAGCGTGCTGATGCTTTGTGCACTTTTGCTGTTATGCAATGATTACTTGGGGGAAAAATCCCTTCAAAACTTTAAAGATGTCATTAAAAGAAACAAAAACAAAACTCATTATGACCTTATTCACTGACTGATGCTGCTCAGTATGAGAGACGACAGCTAGACCCATCCAGAGATGTGCAGAAAATGTAATTTTGCTTGTGTTGTGAGTTGCTCTGTATGAGAATGCGTTTTTGCATCCAAACATTATTCTTCAAAAAAGGAAACACAAAAACAAATTGTCCACACAGGTTTTGAATTACAACTGCATTTTTTTTAAGGACAAGAAGGACCTAGGAACATATGTTAGTGTTTAGCGGCAAGAGGAGGCTCACGCATCCCGAACTCTCATTGGCTCAAAGGGTTTATGCTGAGTGAACCCTCATGGCTTGAAAATACCTTCAACCCCCCATCCCATCAATCATCCTCCTTCACGTGCAGTTTTCCACTGATTTTAAAACTATTTCATTATCATTAAAAATCAAATTGACCCGAACTCAATCGTGGTGCGTGTAATGTTTTCACAGAAGGTGCAAATGATCTCAGAGCAAATGGGACCTGCATAGGAATGAGTCAGACTGTGCAAGTTTATTATACGACAATGTTCATCACAAAAGAAAAGATAATGAAAAAAATAGAGGATGTTTTAATGAGATTAAAGACTCCATATGATACAAAACGACGGGCCTCAGTGTGAAGAGCAGACAAAACAGCTCTTAAAGGCAGAACCAATCGCATTCAAGTATCCTGCATCAAACCTAAAGGATCCTGCTGAAAGAACTACAAATGCGGTGCATGTATGATAGATCCTGTCAGTTATCCCTAAATCCTGCACTGCATCCAGATGAGCTGATGAGCCTGTGACCCCGAGCACAAACAGCACAGCTGAGGTTTCTCTGCCCTAAACATCAACCTGTGAATTCAAAAAAGCTACATTCAGAGTGTGTATAGTACAGAGACGTGCACACAAGCACTAAAATTAAATGCATGTCATCCTCGTGTATTTCACAGAGGAACATATCTAGTCTAATTCTCTGTCAAACAGCAGATTTGTTAGTCGTCTGTTGAAGCTCTACTTTCCAGTAACGGCTCACTAATCACTAATGAGAAACTCAAAGCCAGCCCTCAGTGTTCCAGCTGTCCCCGAAGATCGTTGTTTTTCATGCTGTTACCAAGAGGCTTAATGTTGTCAAGGGATGCAGCGACACACATGCAGACCAAGGAACATAACACACATGATCAAATAATTGTAGCTGCATTACACAACTACTACTATTGCATGATTTAATAGTGTGACATGGGAGGGGTAGAGTATGTGCTGTTCAACCGAGTTGCGCTCCTCGAATTATTATAGTAGCTCAGTTCAAAGGAGGCGGACAAGCCTGAAAATAAGAATGAGTGATTCTTTCTCTGAGAAAAATCCAGAAATACTGGTGAACAGTGAACAACAGGAGCAACAGGAGCAACCACAGAACAATGCTGCTGCAGCAGAGGAGCGTGCCTGTGCTCTCAATCTGGATGATAAGTGTTCGGAGGACAATGCACCTGCAGAAAATGAGTCGCAAGGAAAGATGCAGTCTGTTTTCCAACAGGTACGTAACCAGATCAGATCACAAGTGGGTGTGCGACTCCCAAAGAGCAGCATACTGGAGCTAGTGCAAAAAGTCAAAGAAATGGAGCTCACACAGGTGAGCGTCGAAGTTGATGGTGAGGAGGTGAGTGGTGAAGAGGGAAAACAAGTGTTGAAACATGAGCGCAAAAATGAGATGTGTCTGATGGAGGAGGAGGAAATGTGTGCAACGTTTGAGGAAAAGCTCGAGGCCAGAACAAAGGCCTTAAAGGATGAGTTTCAAGTTCAGATTTCAGGGGTGCGCACTGAACTGCAGGCCTACACTGACCAGGCTCTGAAAGACTTGGAGTCTAAGATGCAAAGCTGGCAGGCCAACAGTCAGCAACAGGCGCAGTCCAAAGAACAGGAGAGCAAAAGTCCAGACAAGAAGCAGAAACCTTCACCAGCTCCTTCTATGGGGTCCAGAAGAGGAAGGGTCCTGACTCGGACCATGACCACCATCATTCCTAAAACCTGTCCTCCTGTCGTGATTGGCCCTCGTGCCAAATCAGAGACACTGAGCTCCTTTAAGTGTGAGTGCTCTCGATTTCCTCCTAAAGACCCAGTTCTTTCTTTATTAGGAAACAGAGCCTGCCAGAGCCACAAACCTCTTCCCCCAGCTCGGCCCCAAACGCATCAGCGTAAAAGGTCCATCCAGGCAAAGGCTAAACCGGGAAAATGACTCATCAAAATCATATTCATTCATGCAGCACAAATGTTACTGCTACTGTCTGTTACCTTTAACCTGTTATACCACTGCAGCACTGTATAATGAAATCTGAGTGAAATGTGTAACCATGACTGTTAAAATAATAAAGCATCTTCTGAAAGCTTCAAAGGAGATATCCTGCTTAGATCAGAATCAGCTCAAACACTTTTGTGTCATCATTTATCCTACAGTTACACAGCTGTAGCAGTTTCAACAAAACCCTTTTTGGGAATGTGAAATATTTCTGAATTTCTTTAGAGGAGAAACTATGTAAGGATCCAAACCATGATGTCTGCATTCCTCAAAATATTTTAACACAGAACAGAGTTGGGCTATAAAATATATAAAGATAGCACTCCATAATACGGCCTGTCATTAAGGGTGTAATGTCCCCAGATTTAAAATAAAGTTTCAAAGTAACTTTTGTGAAATTTTGGATTTAAATCACCTAAAAATATCGGTCAGAAATTTGAAGAACTGAATAACTTCAGTGTATTTTAGTCAAAAAACAGTTTTCCCTCACTTTACATTATAAACACGGGTTACTTTTGAGGGCTTAAATAAAAGCCTCATTCAAAAAGTACAACAAACAAAACAAAAACTTGGGGAAAGTAAGCTGCCTTTTTACAGAGCTTCCAAAAAGACATTCATACTATCACTTAAAGGTACAGTACGTAAAATATCCACACTAGATGTCAGTAGATGTCAGCTGTGTTCCAAAACGTCGGCTGCATCCTTCGGTAGGACCCTTCGCGGCCTACGTGGGCCGGGTCCTTCGAAGACTGAGAAGGCCGGAAGTCTTGATAAACCAAGCAGATATTTGAAATTTACACAGCTACTTTCTCGCCTGAAAATATGTTAAAAGTTTATTTTGTGACCCAGAAAGATTAATAAGATTAATTTTAAAACTCAGTAGCGGCCGCCATTGTTGGCAGCTGAAATTTGGCTGGGCCGTGCTATAAATTCTGGGATATGGTGGGCCACGAAGGACACACCCGACCCATCCTTCAAATTCAGGGAAATGAAGGACGCATTTGTCGGCCGCATTTGAAAGAGTCGACGAATTGGGACAGCCTTCGTCGCCTGGCTGTGACGTAATCGGCCTTCAAATGCGGTCTCCGGAGGATGCAGCCGACGTTTTGGGAGACATGTGGATAACCTTAGCTACGGTGGCTGCTGTAGGACAAACATGTTCATGTGTAGTGAGTGTACGCTCTCAGGCTGCTGTTTACCTCAGCTGTCAGTATGTATCTACCTCTACTCTGGAGGAGGCTGTAAAATGTTGTGAAGGGAGTCTGATACGAGTTGTGAAACTGAGGTGAGTTGCTGAAGACATCCTGGACTTTAATGTTGGTAAACGCTGCTGTTTGCTACTGTTAGTTAAACTGTCTGAGGTGGAGCTAACATTTTTCTTATTTGGACACCTTTATCAGAGATAATTTCGTGGACATTCGAGCCAAATATTAGCTGCCATTATGCTAGCTTACAACCAGCTGCTGTTGTTGTTGTCATTGTCAACTGTCTGGAGATGGGAGGGTTGCACAATTTATCTGGTGACCAGATGTAATTGTGACAATATCTGGAATAAATGAGCATATTTATGCATGTTTTAATGTGTAAGAGGCCTGACTTCATATATCACAAAGCTACTTCAAGCCATATATATATATATATATATATATATATGTATAGCTTGAAGTAGCTATGTGATCTTTATATTAAGAGTAACCTGTAAGGTTTACTACGTATGTAGCCGTTCTCTAGTCACATACAAAAAACTTGAATAGATGGAATGACCACTGTATTGAGGATGGTGGGGCTGCATGTCAAACATGTAAAAAGGTTTACATTGTACAGACTCTTTTTTGCATATACTGTATTTTTATTTTCCACATTTCAGTAAATCACTGCACCTAATTTACAGTGAAGTACTGTGGTAAGGAGAAAATTACAATTACAATTACAATGAGAGGACAAGTTACCCACAAAACATGTACATGTTTGTATCTTTGTGGACATCATGTTGCTCTGACCAGAGATTTTTGTGACCGTTATACTCTTCTTCAAATAATTATCAGTGTACTTTTATTTTAGATCCGGGCCATATTATAAAGTGCTGCTTGTTTGAAATAATGCTTACTTTCATGCACCAGCTTTGGTTTCAGGGTCTGCTTTAGAACTGTTCTGCCCTCTGGTGGTGAGACTACTTACAGCAGACAGGACTGTTGATATCTGCAGGTAAAGATAATATACTACTACTACTTGTGGCTTCTCGTCCAATGCTGGTCATGAACCGTTTGAACACTTTAAATTCATACACTGCATGTGTTTGTTCACTTTTGCTTGTTCACTTTTCATCTGTGTAAAATAAATTAAACAACCTTCTTTGAAGTGTCCGTTTTAATGTCAGTACACGTCCAAAAACTGGATTTTCCACTATAATTAATAGCCTTGACAAGTGAATTTAAATATAATAATGAAGATCAACAATCACTCACTTCACACATAATGTTTATTGAATTATGAGCGGATCCTTTGACCAGGACACAAGGAACAACATTCATGCGTGCCTTTAATTGTACACCCTATATGTGTAGGTCAGTTTCAGTAAAGGCTTAAAAAAGCCCTACCCTATAATCATCATTAAATTAGTACTTGGGAACTTTCAGTTAAAACTATAACGGTCATGGCCTGTGTTTTGGTGATTCTACACTTTGACCAACAGATGGCAGGAGTTCATGTATTTGAGCTCAGATGAACACAGCTTAGCAGACAAGAAATTAAGCAGTTTTATATTTTGGTGTAAGTGGAAGCAACGGTGAATTAACATAAACTGTCTACTTTTACTGAATGGCTAAATGAGAAAAGTACTTATGATAATATATTTTTAAGGTGTCAGAGTGGTGTAGTGGTTAGACCCTAGGTTTGAATTCACTGGGCAGCTGTCTGGCTGAATGATACTGGTTATTGCATGGAGATTTTTAGGTAAGTACAGTTAGGAAAGGTTTAATGTGAAAAGTCTGGGTACTCTATTAATGCACTATAATGTAATATCCAGATATGCCAATTTTGTACAGTATTTTACATAAAATTATGTGCAGTGAAAGGACAATTTACCAAAAAACTGCTTGGAGTTAACCAACAAGTTCTCATCTTCTTTGTCGACACCTTGTCAGCGGTGTTGGTCTGGCCGGAGATTTTTATCAACATCGTGTCTGATGACTTCTTGTGTGGTTCATCCATCCCCTGCAATGATTTGGATGTCATATTGAGCCAGCAGCATTCACCCAAATAATTCTGACTACACCTCCATGAGGAAAAGATCTGTTCCACTAGATCCAGGATTGGAAGGAGTGGAAGGAACTCCTTTCATGCGCAGCAAACCACACCCGTTCAATCTTGCCTCAATAGACATCAATGCAAACAATGACATCATTTGGCAAATCTGGTCTAACTGAAGGTCTGTTGTGTTCTGGTATAAGTGGTATTTAGGAAGGCCAGTGGAAGATGTACGAGTAGGCAGTAATAAGAAGTATTGGAGATTGAAGAAAATCTGCTTATATTTGCAGCTAACACCCACTAATGACAATGTCACTCTTTGTGTTAGCTTCACCTGAAACCACATGTGATGGGACCATGTAAGTCTGGAAAATCAAAAAAAACAAAAACAAAATACAATCCCTGTGCACATCAATGGATTACCTGGAAACACTGCTACTGCAGCTCCTTATCTGTCACTACTCTTGTCCATGGGCACCTTCGTAGAATAGCTTCATCGTCACTTGAAGCTGAAGTTAAATAAAGCTGAGTAAACTAATACTCTTGTTGTTTATGACTGCACTCCCTCCCATCCCCTCCAACTGGTCGCTGCAGATGGCAAAGTCTGGTCATGTCGCAAACTTCCTGTTCTTGCTGTTGGTTGCTGCCAACATGATTTTGCACATGAGAAATGAGCTCTATCACTTCATAATCCTTACACGTCTTAAATTGTGTTGTAATTTTGTGGCTATTTACCTATGCAGTACTTGCTGAATAGTTTTGAACTGCTTCTTCCTGTTCCTCTAGCTAAGAGTGTTCCTCCATTTGCACAATTGGTAGTGATTGTGCTCTAAATTTGGAGTGTACACACATTTCAATAGATTTTGATAGTGGATTTTTTCACATAGGACCGGTCAAACTATAAAAGGAAATTCTGTGACAAGTTTGTAGAAAAATCAACTCATGTTTTGTTTTTTTTGTTTTTTTATTAGCAAGCCGTGTGCAAGTGGTTACTGGAGACCTGAGCACCTGAGTGCTTCCAGCAGCTGAACTGGCACTGGGACCAGCCCGTGACAGGAGATGTATTTAGCTGCGAAGCAGGCACAGGAGCAGTGCGCCTTAAAGCAGGCCTTTCACAGTGGACGGGATAGAGAAAGATGTGAAGAGGACCTTTGTGTTTCAGGGACGATGAGTCCTGAGCGACCATATCCGGAGGGGGCGAGGGCCCAGCGCATTCAGGTCTGGCCAAACCACGCTGTCCTCGGAAGCAGCATCTCGCGCCTAACGATATCCACCAGCGGCACAGCTCATTATGATGCACAGTGCAGCAGGTCTGGTCTTCCCTAGGAAATATGCATCGGTGGATGAAACAGTTTTAGAAGGTCTGTTAGGCAATATTTCCTATGATAGGAAGAAAGATAAATCACACATTTTCATAGTTGAATAAAAACCTCTCATTCACTCGCTCACATCCAATCGGGTGGCGTGAACATGTCCCTGAGCCAACATGAATAACAATGTCAAGAAGGCGGCGTTGGAGGAGATCCATTTGTAAACCCTGGTTTCCTAACCGCCTCTTGAAATGTGCCAAAAGATAACAACATTACACTGAAAACACCAGTCTCATGTAAATGCTGTATTTTTCTGGGCTGTTGTTCTCAGGATTTGGACAATTACAGCGAGGGGGCCACTTTCAGGTTAAACTAGACAGATTA